AAAAAAAGTATGAAACTTAACAGTTTAATTTTCACTCCTCTTATCATAAAAATTCATCAACTATATATATTATTACATGTTGTATATTAGAATTAATGAGAGAAATGTATTTTGCCATAAACTATTTTTTCCTTAAAAACATATAGAAAAAAATAATTTGACTTTTAAATAATAAATTATCTAATCATAATAATTCATAATTTACCATTAATTAAGTGCGAAAATTAATAGACACTATATGCATTTGTTTCAATTTTTTTACTCAAATTCTAATCCTATAAATAGTTTATCCACCGACTATATTTTTTAAATTATGCATTGTAGATCTTTTAAATATAAAGGAAAATTCGAAGAATGTTCCTTGTACATAGGATCATAAACTAAAAGATAAAGTCAAATAATATGTCTAGAAAACATGTTTTGCACAAAACGTAACAAAGGCGAAATAATTAAACATGCTTCATTAAGGTTCCTTTTAACGTAATTAATAAAACAACAAAAACAAAGCTATCCATTACACAACACGCTTTCCTTCAACATTATACAATGGAATCAAATAATGCCTTTTTTTAACAAAGAAATATAAGTAATCTAGTTTTAATATTTATTGATTTTATTTACTGAATTTTGTATCTAAATCACACCAGTTTTTATTTAATTATAAAAATTAATAATAACATATTTTATTAATCCTCTTCATCTTTTTCGTTACTTATCATATACATTATTATCTTCATCTTGGTGTATGCTAGAACATACGTAATGTTTTTTGCAAGTAAACTATCAAATTAATCTTAAAAATGAATATTATAAAATATTTAACTCCGAAAATTAGGAGTTAAATTGATTATCTTTCTAAATTGATTATCTTATAGTGTGTTGTCTTTTAAGAAAATCATAACTAATTTAACTTATTTTAATGTCTTTATGGAAGCCATGTTGTCAAGTAACACCAAGAGCTCCAATTTATTAATAGAAAAATGTAGGAAGTTGTAAAAACAAAGTTTAAAGAAAACATATATGCAGCTAATTTGCAATGGTATTATTGATACAGAAGCAACGTGATTACGTGATATGGCATTATTTGAGTTAGTCCATTTTAATAGTCTTCAAGCATAATATAAAAATATTAATATAAATTTGACCGATTCGAAATGCACATGAAAAATTACTTACAACATTTTTTATTTGGCTGTATACACTGAATTGCAAATAATTTCTCATACATAACTAAGAAATTGCATGTATATAATATTTCACTAAATTCATATAATAAAATATGTCAAAAAAATGAAATAATTAATATAATAATAATAATAATAATCACGTATTTACGTCTATATATAAGCGAACAAAGAACAGAAAAGGCATTATCAAAACAAAGGAACTCACGTTAAGCGAAAACCAAATGGAAGCGGAAGAAGAAGAAGACGCGCCACCAAACTTCTGGACGGAGAACGGTAGCCACCGCCGCCTCCGTCGATCTTACTCGCTGTTTCTCAGCTCCGGTGCAGTTCTGATATGCGTTCTGGTGATTGCACTTGCATTCACGTTGGTCATAATTCCCACCATCTTTTCCACGTTGCACGCATTCCCTTACCATCTTTTCAAACCCAATTCCGTGAAGAAGAGTTGGGACTCCCTCAACTTTGTGCTTATCATCTTCGCCATTCTCTGCGCCTTCCTCAGCAGGAACAACGCCGACGAGAGTTTCTCCGACACTCCACACAAGTACGAGAAACCAAACCCTACAACAACGCCACGGTGGTACGAGGAAACAGATCGCACGTCCTACAAATCGTATAACAGGCTCAGGAGTTTCAACTCCTACCCGGATCTCCGCCAAGAGTCGCCGTGGCTAGCCTCCGACGAACGGTGGCGATTTTATGATGATACGCACGTTAACGGTTATTGTAGATTTGACTTGGAAGAAGAGAGCGTCGTGAAAGTGGTAGATAAAGAGGTTCCGCTGCTACCGGGGTCTCCACCACCAGTTCCGGCGGAGGAGAGGAGTGGGGAAAGTAAGAATAAGGGAACAAGTGCAACAACTAAAGAGTTGTTGACTTCTTCGACGGGAAAGAAGAAGAAGAAGAAACAAAGACAAGGAAGCTTTGAAAATCTTAATCGCATTCGAAATTCTGAACCTCATTCACATCCTCGAGTTTCCTCAGTTTTTCACAATCTGTTTCCTTCTAAGAAAAGCAAGAGGAAGAAACTTGAGTCTGCTTCATCGTCGCATGTTTCATCATCCAAAACCGAACCAGTTCGTGGGAGTGTGGTCAGTTCCCTTAAATCAAACAAGAAAGAGACTTTCTTGAAGGAAAATGTGGCTGTTACTGGTAAGGAGTCACCTTTGATCCCTATACCTCCGCCTCCGCCGCCGCCGTTCAATATGCCGGCCTGGAAGTTCCGGGTGCAGGGTGACTTTGTTAGAATAAACAGCCTTAGTAGCTCGAGTAGTGGTTCCCCAGATTTAGAAGATGAAGTTGTGGAGTCAGCAAGAAGTGAAGATGGTGGAGAATCTGCAATCTTATTGTTCTATGATCCTAGCCCTGATGATGTTGACACCAAAGCTGATACTTTTATTGAAAGGTTCAGAGCTGGTTTGAAAGCTGGACCCAGTTGAATTTAAGGTGTAAAATTGATGGATGCTATGTCTTTATTCTTTAATTAGTTTATATTTTTGCTTTCTTTCTGAGAATTGTCATGAAGTGGTGTTTTTTGTTTTACCATTTTTTAATGTATATATAGTTCTGCATGTTGCGACTTTATCAAAGTAAAACACTTTCTTTGATACCATCTGCGGTGAAACAACACATCACCCTGCTCTGATTGGTTTGCTTAGCAAAAGGTTAACACAGTTAATAAGACAATGGTTCCTTTGAAAAAGCAATGCCTCTGAGGAGTGGAAATAATTGAGTAAAATGCTGAATCCTTTCTTGTATTTTCTTGATTATTCACCATTCTCGTTTAAGATTTGTGCAGTTTCTTCAAAACATAGACTAGTCTTGGGTAAGTTGAGTGTAATACAAGGAAGTGTTTTACTCAATCTTACACGAAAAGTTCTATCCAATTTTCCTTTCGTAAAGATATAGAAACACCACTTGCTTTACTTTTTTGTATTTGTTATTTAGTTGTAATGAGTTTATAGTCGGAAAAAACAAGTAGTGAATTTTCTATTTTAAAAAGAAATAAATGATAATTTAACATATACAATTTGTTTTCACTTGACATTAAAAAAATACAAAAATTTACTTTTTTTTATTACCATTTTACTCTTCTAGTATCAAATGGATGTAAATTGTGTCACCCTAAAAATCGGTGCATTTATCAATGACAACAAAAATTACTTCTTTTGACGGGACACCGAAGCAACGGGTAGAAAAGAAAACTTTTTGTTGTTGTGTTGTGAACTGATAGGTTGCAAGATAATCTATGTTCTTTCTTTTTGTGAAACCTTTTGCGTACAAATAAGCAACTATATAATGGGTGAATACTAGATGATGGAGCATCTTCCAAGCCTAACCCATTTGATGTAACAGTTACTTGCCCAGAATTTAAATTCTTAAAAGTGGAGTTCAAGTCTAATTTTTAAATCTAATACAATCCAAAAGAAAAAGCATGCAAAACAAAGTTTACACTATTTTATATATTATACTATACAATACATTCAACACAGTTGAGATATACCACCATTTTACAGGTGGTTCTCCAAAGTAAAGCCCCGGTTGTTATCCAATGGAATTCAAAAAACTAAATTATGTTAATGGGCTAGCTAAAGGACGCGAATAATACAGTAATTCACGGTTTTATAGAATCAAGGCGTTCATAATAACTTCTGCAAGTTGTACTAAGAACATGCAATTCCAATTCGCCATTGCTTTCTTGTCTTTTCTACAAAACAAGGACTTCAACTCAAATGCAAATTTGCAAGGGCCATTTTTCTGTTTTGATTTCAGTGGGACAACAGCAGTAAACTACAGTGCCACCATGAAAAGCAGAGGGAAGAGAGAAGATATCCAACACACTATATTTCATTCAACTTTTCTAATATGGCAGATGCAGTTGAAGGCGTTTAAAAGTCAAATTTCATACTATAAAATATTGTACTAAATGGCTAAGGAAAGTTCATCTTGTGAAAAAAGCGCAAGATGAAGTATCTAAATTGACTACCATTTCAATGTGTGCGGCGGCTTCAATATAACATGTATGCTTAGTCCAACAATTCAGCTCTTTCCTGCCCTTTTTTCTTCCTGATTTAATTTCTTCTCACATACTGAACAGATACTTCGTATTACCCAACATAGCTTAATGCCAATAACATATCATGAAAGAAAACTGTTCTAATTATATAGGTTGGGACTATTTTCTTTGAGGGTTTGGCCTGTAAGAAACCAACAATAGTCCTTCCTCCTCGTATCAATTCATTTTTCTACGGGAGCGAGCAATGACTCAACAAAGAAAAATCTACAACAAAAGCCCTAAGATTGCCCCAATATGGATGCTGCCACAATGCATAACAAAGCAAATTATTACAACACTCAGACCTAGCTTATAGAAAAGACAATTTTGTAGTGCCTAAAAGTAAATAAATACTAATGAGTAACTCAGGAGAAGCAAAACTTGCAAAGCCTACCTAATGAGCCTTACTCTGCAAATACGTCTTCAAAACATCCATAACAGACCCAAAATCGGCCTTCACTTCCTTGGGTGGGTTAGCATAGCGGCAAGCCATGTCCTTGATTTTCTTAGAGTGGTAATCAATCTTGGACTGAGTGAACTTCAAGCCATGAGCAGTGCTAACCACCACAGTCCTATCAGTGGCTTTGATAACCCCACTGTTCTTGAGCTTGAACAATGCCGTCAAAGCAACCCCAGTGTGGGGGCAAATAAACATCCCGGTGGAATCCGCCTGCATTGTAGCATCCATTAGCTCCTCCTCCGTCGCCTCCTCCACAATCCCATCACAACTCTTAATGGCATGAACAGCCCTATCAATGGAAACAGGATCACCAATCTGAATGGCAGAGGCAAAGGTCGTGGTGGGTATCACAGGCTTAAACTCCTTCCACCCAGACTTAAAGTACTTATACAAAGGATCGGCATTTGCAGCCTGAGCACAAACAAGCCTTGGGATCTTGTCCACAAGTCCAAGCTCTTGGCACATCTTAAACCCTTTGTAAAAGGCATAAATGTTGCCAAGATTCCCACCAGGCACAATGACCCAATCAGGAACCTGCCAATCAAACTGCTGCAGAATCTCAATGGCAGCAGTCTTCTGCCCCTCAAGCCTCAAACTGTTGAGGGAATTAGCCAAATAGATAGGCAACTCAGCAGTGACTTCTCGAATCAACTGCATGCACCCATCAAAATCAGTGTCGATACTCAACACAAAGGCGCCATTGGCAATGGGCTGAACAAGCTGGGCAAGAGAGATTCTATTAGCAGGCAAAAACACAATAGAAGGAATCCCTGCGGAAGCGCAATACGCGGACAGCGCTGCAGAGGTGTCGCCGGTGGAAGCGCAGCCGACACCTACGACGGGGCGGTTCATTTTTCTCAGGCGATTGACCTGACTAACGAGAACGGTCATGCCGAGATCCTTGAAACTGCCGGTGTGGCTTATTCCGCAGTGTTTGACCCATAAGTCGTTCATGCCGAGGAACTGTTTGCCGAAACGCTCGGCCCAGAAGAGGTTGGAGTTTCCCTCGAAGGCGGAGACGATGTCGTCGTCGTGGATCTCGGGGAGGACCCACTCCTTCTTGCTCCAGACGCCGGAGCCGTAGGGCCAGGTGGTCTTGCCGACGCGGGAGTCGAAGAGGGAGCGCCAGTACTCGCCGTCGAAGCGCTTGAGGGCGGCCATGTCGTGTTGGACGTCGAGAAGGCCGCCGGACTGGGACCGGTACACGATCTCATCTAGGGAATAGGACTCCGTCGAGGAGGGGTCGGCGTTGAAGGGCACGTACTTGGCGGAGAAGAGGTGGTGGTCGTGCGGCGCATTCACGCGGCGGGCCTCGTCGCGGATGTTCTCATCTGCGGGGCGGCGTTGCTTGGCGGCGGCGGGGGCGGGGGCGTTGTTCTGACTGATGGGGGACTGGGCTCGGATAACGAAGTGGGCCGCGGGCTTGGGAGAGGCCCGTTTAGAGGTTTGGAGAGAGAAAGGGAGAGACTGAAAGAGAGATGTGGAAGCCATGGATTGATTTGGAGTGAGATTCCACCAATGCATCTCATCATGCTTCCTCCTTTTATATTACTCCTTCCCACCCACCTTCAGATCTATGTACATAATAAAATACTATTTCATTACAAAATAATACTATTTTTTATCTTATTATAATAATTATTCACCTCTATTTTCCTTTTTAAAATTAAAATTATACTTTTAAAACTCTTTTTTTCATACACAACCATTCACAATTTTTTTTAACAAATGAAGTATTGCCTTTATGGGGATGTTAATGATGATGGCTTGTCATATTCTCATGGAACGTGGTTTTTGTGGAATTATTAACTCCCTGTGGTATATATAAATCTCACTTAAAATACTATAGATAATTTTTATTATCTTCTCATTAATTTACTTTTCTTCCTTTCATTGACAAGAAACAACTATCATGAAATTCAAAAACTACAAATACAATTTCATAACATAAACACATATATTGATTGTATTTATTAATTTATTTTTCTTCCTTTCATCAAGAAACAACTATCGTAACGTATGTTAATTTTATTGATAGAATATCTCACAAGGGTGAAGATATGAGAAGGAGAAAAGATATTTTTCTCACATCAAACAATAACATGGGAAATTTTGATAATGAAGACGAGATTTTGAGAAACTAAATCATGTAATAAGAGAACATTTGATTCATCTACTAAGATACAAATATTACTTGTAGTGATGCTGAACAAGGAAAAAGTTAAGTTGCAAACAAGAGAGACTCGAACTCTTTAAAGTATATTATATGATTAATAGGTGACAATGTTGGGAGTCAACAAGCCACTGATCATGTTTTAACACATAACTGAGAGAAGATATCTTTCCTTTTCATATCTTCCACCCATTTGCCTGTTATTAACAACCCCTCTACTAAAAAGACAAAAAAAAGAGTCAATAAAGTAATATTAACAACCCATTCAACATCATAAATTGTATTTAGAAATTTTTAAGGTGAACTTCTTATTGTAGTAGTTTTTATCTTTTTACGAAATTATACAAGAAATATGGTTTGTTTCAAGGTTTAGCAAATGCCATTAATACGTTCATTGAGATTTTAGCTTTTCTTTGAATCAACTTGTCCTAGAGTTCATCCATCCTTTTCCTATCCACATTCCAAAATTGGTCATTTAAAAATTAATTTAAAATATCAGTTGTTATTCAGGGAAGTGAATTATCGGACAGTGTTTTGTTTAGATTTGAGTATTCTGTGTTCAAGGCACCTATTATCCACAACAATCTGGTTTGGTGCTTTTAATAAAATTCTGGCTTTCATATGATTAGAAGCACCATACTTGTAAACGTTGCTCTTCCCCTCAAACAATCGAAAGAACTGAAAATTAACATGTTAAAATGCCATCCATTCATTTGGTGCAAATGTTGTAGCACTTCAATTTCCTTAATATTTAAGGTGGCCAGGAGATTAAGGTTTCAACCCCATTCATATGAAGCTTATGCCAACGTGAATTCATAGCTAGGGCAAGGCTTAGGAAAAGACAACTTTCCCAAGACAATCACAAAAGACAAAAAATCTACATGTGTGTCAAACAGAAAAACTATCCATCAACTACATCTAGAAAGAAACACATATTAACCAGATTAGTAAAGGCTCGAACAAAGTTTGTCCATAACGGAAACTTGATTAGCGAGCTCTCTTGTTACTGCACGATGGACACTTGTATTGCTTGATGTGCTCTGCCCTAGCAGGGGTTATCTTCACGCATTTGCCATGGAACCACTTCTCGCAGATGTCACAGCAAATCCAGAACTCATCAGTGCCATAATTCTCACCACATGCCCCACACAAGGTCTCTCCATGTTCATCTTCATCTTGCTCTTCTAGTCCTTCATCCTCATCTTTTGGTTGTAACAAGGCCTTTGACTGTCTGCCCTGGGTTTCGGGAACCCGCTGCTCCACCAGCCAACAATTACATAAGAACACAAATTATCTGAGTAAAGGAGAACCACAGACTAGATGACACTAGCCATACAAGTCAGCTATTCTCAAACTCCTCCCACATACATTTGCACGAACATCTATACAGAACCCAGTGAATGCTCCATTAACAGTCATTGATGCACTCTAAGAACATGAGATGCCGCTATCAATAAATGTCCACATTCTAATGCTCTTATACACTGAATTAAAAAGATAACAACGGAAAACCATGATATAACATATTAGGATCCCTCATGATCTTTTTATCTCACCATCTCTCTGAAGTATTTATCCTACTCCATTGTTCATTCGAATGTGAGGTCAAAACTAATACAAAATATGCAAAGCTAAGGATAAATTTCTTAACAAATTGTAACACCTCAGTCTTTTAAAACAGCTATTTATTGAATGGAAGATTATGAGAAGTTATACTGTTTTGGGTGACAGGGTCTAGTATGAGGAAGAACTCTTTTACTTCTTCATCTAAACAATTGTCTCCTTTTCACTCAAAGCAATCAATTATACTAAATTGCTTTTCTATTCTTCCTTTTTTTCTTTTCCAATTCAGTGCCAGCCAGTTTAAATCATCACAGTTAATACGAAACGTTTCCACCTTGAAATGCCTAAGGCAAGGAACTGAAATGTAAGCTGTAACAACCCTTATTTCGAGCTTTTTTGAAGTTTATCCTAATGTTTTGATTTCTAGGTCTCAATATCAATTTTCATCTTAGCACATGGACCATGTCAAACCAATTTTCTATTATTTCCATTTGAAAACAAAATGTGCATCCAAAAGTCTCACATCGCACTTAAGAATCAATGTCAATAGTAAAATTTATAAACACCTTCCTCTCTTAATTGACGAGACATTTTTTAAGGACAGACTTCATAGAAGCACTGAGCTTCAAAACACAGTATCTTGAAAGGTTATCAACTTTAGCAATGTTATCTTAAAAGACCTGCGATCAAAACATTGACACTACTTGTGGGAAAAAAAGGAGAGTTCCAGACAACTACTTTACATGTCATGTCTAGATTTGAGGAGAAAAATATTGTTTACCACTTTAGAGTTAGACTTAGATTTGTTTCCATTGTTGTTCGAAACTGAAGACTTCTCTTTAACTGGCTTCTTTGCTCCACCACCAGTAACAACTTCAAATATTGTTGGTAGTTCATTGATCATACTGAATAGTCGTTTCCTACATAACAAATGCCAAATCATGAGTACATCGATGCATGGAGGAAACATATTCAGATTACCAACTATCAAGAGCAAATACACAGCCTACTAAGCGATGACAGAAAGAACATTCATTTAGGTGTCAGATAGGAAGCCCACTACGGATATTCCATTCACATGAAACTAATATAAAAACTCTGCTCCTACTTTTTCTCCTTGCATCATCTTAAGTCAGTAAACAGTAGTCACAACACTGTTATTCCTTTTTCTCTCTCTCTTCCTCTTCAACATGTTTTTCTCAAAGAAAAAGGCAAAATGTGTTATTATATTCTTCAACATCTTTGCCCTTGTCCATGGTGGGCAACTGCTTCTACAATAATTAGTCAGCAACAAAATTATAAATAAACTGAGATAAAAACAGTGATGCAGCCAAATAACTATCAAAAGGAGAAAAATGTTCATACTAAACAAGAGGTAAACTTGTAGTCAGCAAAGAGGGTGGTGAAAGAAAAAACATAAGTTAAAAAATTCCACAGGAACTTGACTGAACCAAGATAAATAAAAAAAGGTTGACCTAAATTGCTTCCTTAGTTCCCTTATTTTCAAGGTCATGTCGAACTAAATCCTTTACAAGTTGACATGAGATATGAGATATGCTCCGAGTAAGATATACCTGTCAGTTTTATCAAATCCAAATCTGGCTCCAAAATAAAAGGCAAGGGCAAGCAACCATGTATCACTATGAACAGCAACTAAAGATAGCCAATCTTTTTCCTGCATGCCATCCCTAGCAAAGTTAATGCCCAGGACAGGCTCAGGAAGCTCTGGAGGAACTTCTTCTACAGGTAAATTTACTTCCCACTGCTCACTGGGTAATCCATATAAGCACAGATTCTCCTTCTCTGAAAGAATAAAAATAAAGGATATAAAAACAAATTCATACACAGATAAACTAGCAACAAAGGAAAGACATTTCATATGGATAAAACGACTGGTAATTCTACCTTTACAGCATACTTTTATTTGAAGCTAGAATAACTCCATAACATCTTTACTCCCGAAAAAAATTTACTGCCAAGAGGTTTTTAAGAAGTATCAAGCATTTCATGTCATCCTAGCTCTGCAGCTAGGGTAATAATACAATAATATCTCTAGGGGAGAATGATACTTGGGATTACAAAATAGTACATTCCCCACAACTATGTAACTTTGTAAGGTCGTAACCAATCACAAACCGTATGGGGAAAGCCCGAACCATACCAAACCTAGTGACCTACTGTCATTCCACAAGTGTCTATCATATATCCAAAGTCTATGCAATATATTTTAATCATAGAAGGAAATGAGTACCGCAATATAATTTACAGCTACATTAGCTAATGATTACAAAGAAGGCAGTTGAAAAAAAAAAATAAAAAAATAGGCGTTCGAAGCTTACAGTCAGATGATAGAGAACAATAAATTGTCATCATCAATTGAAATAAATACATGACCAAGTCACCACAAAAATAAAAGCTACCCATATTGAATTGACTTCCCTTTATAGCAAGAGCCTCAAGATGGGTACGGTGAAAATCAAACACTAGACCAAGAAAAACAGTCATGCTCGAATATCGAGCTAATTTCAGTACATGTACTAGAAAAGCAATAGCATCAGGAAAATTCAAGAGCCAGTAACTGCAAACCGCTAGAAAAACAATTCAAACCTAAAATCAGGGTTTACCAGGATCACATTGACTGTAGAAATCTTCAACATCTGCAACAGCACAAACAGGCCAGAAATATTAAACAAGTATGAGGAAAAAAAAATCAAAATCCTTCATACATTGAAACATAAAATTAAAAAACAAAAAAAAAGATTAAAATCCGTCACGTGCGACTCATTAAACTGAAATTCCCTGAAGGTATAGAAATGCGAAAGAAAGGATTCAATTCATTCAATACAAGAAACAGGTCTCACGTTCGGTTTCCGTCTAAACCACAACAAACTGAATGTCGTAACGGAACAGTAACTGGTCGCAGGTTAACATGTCATTCACAACGGAAAATGAAAAAAATAAATAAACCGCTACAGTAGATCAGTGAACAATCCCCTGCCGTGATTCGTGATTTATGATTATTATTATTATTTTTCTGGTTCCATAACTCATTAACCAATCATGAAAAAAAAGGAATAGGTATTTCCGAAAAACAGTGGTAGATAAGTAATTTAACGGTGCATGGAATTTAAAATCGAAAAGCACATTAGTTACGTTACCGGTGGTGAGGGCTTTTATGATGCCTGCTCGTCGGCCCTTGAAATCCTCGAATATGTCTTCCACGGAGCGACTTCGCGCTTCCATTCTCAGAGAACGTGAAAACGAGGTCGTTTAGGGTCTCACCACACTGCACACACGCAACTTTGTTCACAACAAAATTCAGAGAGAGAAGAGAGAATAGGAAAAACGCAATTGCAGGGTATTATGGTATGTGCTGCGTTTGAGTATAGTGTTGGAAGTCCCACATCGACTAGAGATAAGGCCAAATTATAATATATAAGTGAGGTGCAAACCTCACCCTACAAGCCGGTTTTGTGGGGTTGAGTTAGGCTTAAAAACTCACTTTCTAATATATAGTGTAGTGAAATTTATTTCATTTGCATGATGAACAATGAATCCTCCTCCTTCAATTCTCTGTGCTCGCATCCACCTTAATTAAGTTACAACCTCACTGCTTCCACGCTTATCGATCGTCGATTTTGATTTTGATTTTGATTTTGATTTTCCATATTTTATTCCGTACATTTATATGCAATGATTCAATCGTGTGGGACCCACCGGTCACGCAATTTGCATCCATCTCTTCTTTTTCAACTGTCGTCTTATCTTAATAAATATATGGATAAATATTTTGAAAAATGTTTTCTTTAAATAATAATTTAAAAAAAATTCTAAGGATAAAATAATTAAATAAATATATAAAAACACACATTATTATAATAGAATAAGTTTAATCATAATTTTTTTTCTCTTAAAAACTTCAAATTTTATCCAAATATATATTAAATTTCTGCCCCTTTTTCTTCGGTTTTATCCAAGTTTCTATATTTAATATTTATTTACATTTTAATATTTTCATGTACGGATCTCATTTTTTTAAGATGCCCGTAAGACAAAAATGGTGATTAAAGACAGTGGTATTTTAGAAGAGAAGAGAAAAAGACCAAAAATTCCAATGACATTGAATTAAAGACAATGATATTTTAATATCAAAAAAATTATTATATTTATTTATAATATCCTTTATTATTTTTTACTTTCTCTTTTAAAAAGAATAACTATTTTACTCCAATCAAGTGAGTGTTTTTTCCTCGAATTAATGGTTGGCATGCTATTATTAAGATCTTCGTAGCACGCAGAAGTTGTTCTGTCTTTACTTTTATAACACCTTTCATACGGCAACTGCAATGGTGACTACTGTTCCAATAAACAACATTATCCACCCAAATATCTATGGTAAGGATAATGATTGGCATATTAAAAAATATATTTTTTTTTTACACATATTTTTTTAATATTTTAATGTATTATTTTTTATTAGTTTATTATTTATTTGTATGTGCTGTATTAAAATGATGTACAAAATAAAATAAAATAGTTTTAATATATCATTGGCCATAGAAAATATCGCAAGTATAAGATGTGTCAATGGTTACAGAATTGGAGAAACCAAACATCAGAAGCCACGTAAACGAATTTCAACAAGACATGTTGCAGCATAGAAAAACACTGTTATTGACAAATCAGTTCAAAACAACTTTAACAGGTCCATGTCAGTGTCGAGAGAAATCAAAACAAACAATAATAAACAGCAACAGTGTAATGAATATGAGCCAAGGATGACTTCCCAATGGAACACAAGCAGACTGGTTTAGTCATTCACTTGTAGACAAATAGAGGCTGCTGATGAGTGGTGCCACCACCCTTATCAGATGTATAATTCTGCATATTTCTTGCAGCAGTGTTAGATGCATATGTTGCATTATCACCATCTCTGTAGTTTTCTATTTTATGCATGTTAGATTCTGCAGTATTTCCACGAGTACGAGTTGATTGTTGTAGCTTTTTAGTGTTGAGAAAGCGTCCACCAGCACCTCTTGCTCTATTCACTGCATGTAGATGGCGGGACTCGTGAAGATAAGGCTGCATGGCAACAGTGTTATTAATTTTGTTTAGCAGAAATTTTGGAGAAAAAAACATGGACATAGACATGTTTAGTACTTTTCGATCCTTGATGGGTTTGTTTTGTACTTCAAGTTTTGCTCGTTACAGTCTTCTTCTCAGAATAGCATGGTACTGCTTTGAATTCACATATATGGGTTCTTCTTTAATGTCCAGTTGCAGAGGAATTCTAATAGGAGCAGCTTCCACTGGCTGAACATTAGGAATCTCATCAGTGTTTTTCAGAATTGGTCTTCATGCTGCTACAACTTTCATGGTTTTGTTGTGCAAGGTAATTAAACAATTTAGAGGACTAAAACAGTAAGAAACATGACTCTGAAAAGAGGATGCAGAGAAATATAGGTAAAACAGTGAATTTTAGTATCAGGAAAGTTTATCACATCTCATCTCCAATTGTGAAGGCCAACAAGAATATTCTTGTAAAGATTGTATCTTCAATTGTTCAAAAGCTATAATAAAGAAAACCTTGGTGTTCTGGTGTTCAAGATAAGACATAAATTCCCCAGCATAAATTATAATTTTGATAAATAATGCAAAGAGGAAAAAACGAGATGCAAAGGAAAGATGAGGAACTTTTTAAACAGAGATACTATGAGCAATGAGAATATGCCATGCCGGTGAATAATCCGCAGCACAACAAACCTTAAAAATAATTAAACCATGGATTACTGCTGAAAAGAATCTTAAGGTTGTAAGAAATTGGAAAAACAGTGGATATAGTGTTGAACTCTTGAATGTTCCGTTTAGAAGAACCACATTTTGTTATAAACAGGATTTTCCACTGCAACGTTTAACATTCATGTGAAATTTTGTTTGATCAGAATGCAGTCCAAATTAAAGGGAGCCTGCATACCACGTTAATAGTAATGAAAATACATGAATAATGTGTACTGAAGTACTAATTACCATAGACTGTGGAACATATGAAGAAGCCATAAGGTTGCTATAGCCTGGATCAGCATAGTGAGCCTGAAACACAAATTTTAGGAAAACATATGCATATATCTTCCATCCAGAAGAACTTGAGAATATATCTACTTACAAGTGTTTGGCTGTGATCCAGTAGTGGAGGAGGGAAGGTGAAATCATGATTCTGCATAAATGACCTGTGCTGAGGTGTTGAACCAGTAGAACTATGCTGAACAGACATTTCACCTATCATCCAAAGCAGAGAAAATACTCATCAATATGGTATATGAAGTAACATGCCAGGGAATTTGACAAGAATTTTCTGATGCGGAATAAGATATCTAAGACAATTTCCAACTTTGGAAGAAAATCTTATATCATATGTGTGAATGAAACTTTTATTCAATAGCCAATGCTGAGTGAGGATTTAATGCAACATAGGATCACATCACATCACTGTCATATACCTGTAGTGCTCCATTGTTTCTATTGCGAAACAGTGTACTGCTACAGTTTCACGGCCAGAAATACATACCGCAATAGCAGAAAGAAATGACAGAACCCCAGTTGATAAGTACACAAGTATTCAGAATTGTACAAAAAGACAGGGTTTAAATCCAATTACCGGATTGTGCTGAACCAAGTCTGGTAGAAGATTGACCCGAATGAGTCGAAGATGAATCCTGTTCTTGGAATTGAAAGCTCAACGTTTTGCTCCTGTGGCATTGTTGTGGCAGAAAATCCACTTTTAAGCTCAAACTTCTGGATTCTGAAGTCCCCCATGATGAACAATTCATTGTTTTCTGACCTCTTGGAACAATAATCCACTTGACTTCATAGAGAAAACAAAGAGATAAATAGAACTGAGAAAATAAGCCTATAAACTCCTCTTGAGAGTTCCAAATAAAGTAAGTATATCAAACTCCAATGAAACATGCCAATTTTACAGCTCCCTATAAACCCTGTGAGCATCTGTGGTTCAGAACATACACTCTAGCTTGTGGATTGGGAAAAGAGATTGTGGAAGAAAACCCCATAAAAGGTAATCAGAGGAACAATTTTAGCAGTTCAACTCTTGGATCAACTTATCCTTCGTCAACCATGATATCTAAATTGCCTTACAGAAAACAACAAGCAGCTTTACTAGACATAGAGAAAATGATCTGTGCTGAAGAACTATTTGTACTCTCCAATTCAATCAACAACAGCTACAACTTACAAACCTATCACCTCAAGCAAACATAAGATTCCAATTTTTGGAGTGCATGAACAAAAGACAATTTATCAACCACCTAGTCTCCTGCAAAACTAAGAAAATCCACTATCTATCTAAGATTTGTTCCATCATCCTAAGCTTCAAGAACGACCCTTTCACTGATTCAAGGCATGTCATGAAATTACAAATTAAAGAAGAAAGAAAGCAAAGATAAGTTGAAAAGGAAAAAACAACAAGAGAGAGAGACCTTGGAAATTGGCTGAATTGGAGAGGAATCAGAAGGTGTGCATGTCTTGTGGGTTGAAAGTTTGTAAGCTAAGAAGAGACTCTGAGTCACACATCACACTTGAAGGAGTGCATCATTGTTTTAGTCTTTTTGGTCTCTTGGCTTTGGTGCTAAGAAATTCTTGACCCTTAAAAGTGGCTTCTACTGAGTCTTATAAACAGTGACTGTTGCATTAACACACACCAACTACACTCATCTGTTACCTGCCCAACTTACCATGTTAAAGAGAAAATAAGAAAGACAACATTTTTCAAAATGAGAATCTAAGTTTCAAAATATCTTTGAATTAAAAATGATTTATGGTGATGCATTCCATTCTTGTCGTTTTGCTGTCCCTACTGATATTCCTTGTTGTCTGGTTTTAAAAAAATGAAATAAGAATTTTGTAATGGGGCATGGCATCGCACTCTTTCATCATCATGCTTCCTCCTGCTATCATATGCTTTTCTTATTACATCTTCAATGCCTCCAATTTTTCAACCTCAGTTCTGTGCTGCCAAACCCCATTAATGTACTTTTTTTTATCATTTCTTCTGCTTATTTAATTCTTGCAAGTTAATAATTACACAGCTTGATTTGTATTAAATCTGCAGAAGACAACTATTTTCTTTCGTTAACTCACCAAAAGAAGAGCACTGTTATTTCAGTATTACATTCAAAAACCTCAAATGTGAGGGCCAAGAGAGATAGAAAAAAAAAGAGAAGAATGTCATTGTACAAATGATTATGTGAGTTGTTGTATGAATAATTTCTTATATTATTAATTAATTAATTAAAAATCATACAATTAATTTTTTTTAATGTGATTAGGGTAATAAGTTTGTAATTAGAATATAATGTTAAAATTGGTTACACTTTTAGTTTATTTAAATTAAATTCATAAGGTAATGTTAATATCAATTTGATTTAAATGTACTTAGCTTGAAAAAGCTTTTATTATATTAATTAATTACTCTAAATGTTGTAGACAACATTTTGATTTAATGGACTAATAGTGTAAAATAAATTTACGAATATTCGTGCAAATTAAATCTAATAATAACAATAACAATAATAATAATAAAATATTTATAATAGTTTTTAAACACCTTAGAATGGCAGTATCTGATTGAAAAGGAAAATATTTACTATATTTATGTTTTAATCTAAAAAATTGTTGTTTCCTTTTTAATTAAATTTTATAATATTTAATTTATTAACAATCATTTTATAGAATGGTATCAACAAAATCATAGTGTTCCCATAAAAAAAGAAAAACAAGCAT